TGGGTCACGAAAATGGAGAAGATTTTTCATGCACTACCCTGTATAGAAGATGTCATTCGCCACCTTCACTCTTAAAGAAATGCATACGAATGATGGCTTCCTACCTTGGAGAAGGAAAAGATCGTGACTTTGTAGAAGTCTTCTATGAGAAGTATTTTTCATACTCACTACGAGAGAAAAGGTGCCAGAGTTTATAAACTTGAAGCAAGATAGGATGCCAATAGTAGAGTACGAAAGTAAGTTCACATGATTAGCTCAATTTGCAACGTACATTGTTTGAAAAGCTAGGAAGTTTAAGGGAGGTTTAGCAGATGAGATCAAAGGCAAGATTGAAGTTCTAAAATTACCTACATATGCGAAAGTAGTGGACCGAGCATACATTGCTGAGAAAGGAACTAAGACCTCACATTCTAGGTGGGTAGGTCCAAAGAAACGATTTTTGAGAGAACCAAGCGTAGGATCTAGCTCTGCACCACCAAAGAAAATGAATGCAAGACTCATTATTTCGATCAGTTTGGCCAACCAGAATTCTACTATCCCTAGAGGTAGCACCATTCTTAATTGTCCAACCTGTGGAAAAGATCATCGGGGACACTACTATTGAGCAATGGAAGCATACTATAGATGTGGTCAAATTGGTCATTTGATGAACGATTGTCTACAATTTACTAACCCTGAATCAGTTCAGAATAGTTGTTTATGCCTATAGGAGTGAAGAAAGAACAAAAACGTCAATGGAGAGATTTTGCTTTGGTGTTTGGAAACCCCAATGTTATCGAAAACGTGGTGTCAGGTACACTTTCTATAGGTGGTCATTCAACTCATATTCTCATATCTAGATTAACTCATTCTTTTGTTGCTCCACACTTTATTTCCAATTTGACATCAATACTTGAATCCTTGGGATATGCATTATCTGTGTCTTTTCCATCTAGTGGTTTTATACTTAGTACTGATATATACAAATCTTGTGTTATATCCTTAAAAGGTGAAATTTTATATATGGATTTGATTCTTCTCCACATCATTAATTTTGATGTAATCTTAGGAATGGATTGGTTTGCTAACAACCATGCCTCTATTGACTATACAACCAAAAAGGTCTTTCTCCAAGTACCAAACCAATGTGAACTTGTCTTTGATGGAACTAGAGTCTCTACCCCTCTATGTTTGGTATCTTCTATGTCATAACTTCTAAGGAAAGGTTGTGGTTATGTCTGTTATGTCGTCGATACTCAGTGAGTAAACCCAACACTCAATTCAATGCCCATAGTTCGGGAATTTCTTGATTTTTTTTTTCTGAAGATTTACTTGGTACCCTAGTAGATCGAGAAGTCCAATTTATCATTGAAACTCAGCCCATTACACAACCGATATCAAAAACTCCTTATCGCATTTCGATTGTGGAATTGAAAGAGTAAAAAACACAACTTTAGGAATTACTCGACAAGGGTTTCATTTGACCAAGTACCTCACCATAGGGAGCTCTACTACTGTTCGAAAAGAACAATGATGATACAATGAGATTATGTATCGATTATTGAAAACTGAACAAGGTTACCATCAAGAATCGGTACCCCTTGTCGCAAATCGATGATTTATTTGATCAACTGCAAGGTGCTCAAGTATTTTCTAAGATTGACTTTCGATCCAGTTATCATCAAGTGAAAGTCAAAATCAAAAGTGTCAAGAAGACTGTATGTATAACGCATTATAGACACTATAAGTTCCTTGTCATGCCATTTGGCGTTACAAACACTCTAGTGGCTTTTATTGACCTCATGAATCGAGTGTTCAAACCCTATCTCGATGAGTCATTATTGTTTTCATTGATGACATTTTCATGTAGTCTAAAACATGGAAGACCATGAACAACATTTATGATCAGTATTCCAGACTGTCACAACCAAAACCCGCCCCTATAGGTTTAGTGTCGTAACTAGCCAGTAATCCTGGGATTACCAAAGGCCTTTAAACAAATTAAACATAATATAGGGGCTAGCAGAAGCAAAAACAAACATACGACGTCCATAGAGCTGTGTAGACATACATGGAAAAGAAAATTTAAAACTTATATGTATATATAAGTGATGTTACGTCAAATAACCAACAGTCTTACGCCATCTGATAAACAGACAAGACAAAATGGGACTTAACCCAATATATAAATAAACAGTAACTTGTTCAGATTTCAATAAACGAAAACAAAGTTTTAAACTTGGTTCACAAAACTCGACCACTTAACTCTTTTCAGAACCTCCTCGGGAGGCAAAAAGGTTGGCCAACAAAACGAAACTCCAGGCAATCAACTCTGAGCCTGGTCACGTGCCTGGTCACCTACATACATAAATAATACAGTGAGCTAGAACCCAATGAATAATAATAGAGTAAAGGGTTTTAATGAATAATTTCCATAACAGATTAAGAAATCAGAGTTCATATCAGCAACAGATTTATATTCATATTCTTGTTCAGAAATTAGTATTCATAACAAAAATGGAATCAAAATCATATTCATAATCAGGATTTACAGTTAATTGTATGTGGCACATCCATTAGCACTAACAGAAATAGTTGACCCATAAAGGGACGGCCATAAAGGCATACAGTTGACTCACGTGCACGAAGACGGTACAGTTGTCTCATGAGACGTACAGCTGGCCCATAAATGGGACGTATACAAAACAGATAACAGATGTCATCTGACGCTAATGATGCCACGAATACATTTCAGAAACATCGGACAACCATTCATTCATAAAGGAAATAATATTTCAAAAAATAGATCATTTTATATCATTCAGAAAATACTTGTACTTGAACTTAGCTTTAAAAAGTTATTACTCACTATTGGCTCCAATAGTAGACAAACAAAGTAGATAAAGCAAACAAACAAAGCAAATAACCAGATAACCTACGGTGCGTGATCTACACAAACACAGAATAGATACACATTAAAACATATGCTCGTAATTTATTTAATTTATTTCTCTCTTGCCTGGGTGTGTTTCTAATCTTTATTCTCATTATTATGTCTTAATTAGGGCTTAGATTCCTAGGATGCAATGCGGATGCCAAAATGTAATTTGAAACACTTAGTCAAATTTTCAAAAATAGGGCAATCCGCTAGAGCGCAACTTCTGTCGCTCGAGCGGTTTGCAAAGTCTATAAAAGTACTAGTTGCATGATTATTCCGCTTGAAGGATGCTCGACCATCGCTTGAGAGCAAAACTGGGTAAACAGGGTCTCCGTTCGAGCGACATTTCCTACGCTCGAGCGGTCTGCAAAAGTCTGTAAAACTTCTGGGAGCTCTCAATTTACGCTCGAGATCCACTTCTATCGCTCGAGCAGAGGGTCAAAAATAAGGATCAGATTCTGCCGCTCGAGCCAACCCCCAAACTCTGCAAAAGTACTAAGAGCTCGCACTCTCTACTCGAGCGCAGACTCCACCACTTGAATGGAGGGTGCAAATTCTGGAATTTCCAGGTTACAATTCTAAGTTCAAAATTCAACTTCAAGACTTCAAAACACATCATTTTGGGCCCAAAACTTGAGAAACATATGTAAACTTGTAAAAATTTATGAATTCAAAATCATTTCGCAAAATCATGCCCTAAAAGCAACGAAACTATGGCGAATTCAAGCTCAATACTCATGATACAAACATGCATGTAATTTCTTTGAACTTAAACCCTTTAATTCATGCTCAAACAAGGTAAATTGATGTAAAACATGATGAAGTCTCAAAACTAAGTTGAAAACATGACATGCATGGAAGAATTACTTGAAATCAACTTCAAAATACTATGAAATGCACATGCATGCTGTAATCTTCTTCTTTCCTACTTCATTAGTTCATTTCATGCATTAATCTTCCATTATCTTTTGAATCCACAATTTGAGTGAGTAAACTACATAACTTAAGGGTTGGATTTCTTGCCTACAAATCTCAATTCCTTGAATTCTTGAGTGATTCTTCCTAATTTCTCAAATTCTAACTAAGTTCAACCCAATTCCTTCAAATTCCCTAGCAATCTCCCTAGCTGAGCTTGATTTCTTTCTCCTCTCTCTCTCTCTCCAACAGCTGTAGGCTCCAAGATGAGGGAATGAAGAAGTGTAAAATGAGCTAGTGGAGTCCAATTATCCTTATATAGGCTAGTTTAATCAAATATAATTAAAGATAGATAATTAAGCTTAAGTCTAATTGAATATAATCGAATATAATCTAATTATTTCGTTCTGAATCGAATTTCAATTCAACCTACCATAAAATTCTAAAAATTCTAATTAGCATGTATTCTTAGTCAATTTCATATTCTGTGGCCGATAAGGCCTCCAATTAGCAGAAACAAATAGAATTCTAAACAGATATTTCTATAACAGATAGATGTAATGCAAATACCACATAACTCATACAATTAACATAGAATTTTATCTTAATTACTTATTAGACATTCTTAATCATGGATCATAGGCTAATCGTAGGTTGGGATTGTTACACAGACACTACGCGATTGCAAACTTTATGTCGAGTTGAATAAATATGAATTTTGGATCACTAGTGTACACTTTCTCGGTCACGTCATTAACAAAGACGGCTTCTTCATTGACCTACAAAAGATTGCAGCAATTGTAGATTGGTCGCGACCTACTAATGTATATGAAGTTCGAAACTTCTTGAGATTGGCAGGATATTACCTCGAAGATTGCATCACCATTGACTTAGTTAACCTAGAAAAAAAATATACCATTTGAGTGGACCGACTATCACGATCCAAACCCGCCCCTATAGGTTTAGCATCGTAACCGGCTAGTAATCCTGGGATTACCGAAGGCCTCTGAGACAAATTAACATAATAATATGGGTTAGCGGAAGTAGATAACAAATATACAACGTCTACTGAACTATGCAGACTTATATAAGACAGAAAAATTTTAAAATTTTTTATATACATATATACACATCATCCTTACGTCATAATATATATACATATCAGACAAAAAGGACTTAGCCCCTTTTTCAAAATACACAAGACTTGTTTAACCAAACACGAAAACAAAACTTAAACTTTAAATCACATAGCCATAATCACTTGACATATCCAGAACCTCCACAGGAGGCAGATAGGTTGGCTGACTAAAACAGATTCTAGGCAGATGCCTCTAAGCCTGGTCACGCGCCTGATCACCTACATACATAAATAATACAATGAGCTAGAGCCCAGTAAATAATAACAAAGTAAAGGGTTTTAATGAATGAGTCCATACAGATTCAGAAATCATAATTTAGTTTTGTATCAAATTCATAATTTGTCCAGATCATATACAGGAATCATAAGTCATGCTTAAGCATACGTGATACATCCATTAGCACTAACAGAGCAGATACAGAACAGAGGTAGACACGTGATGGTTATGAATAACCAGTTCCATAAAGGAACCTCCGGATCCGGGTAACAGAGAATAAATACACTGAGCCCCATGATGGAGCCTCCGGTACGGGTAACAGAATACAGACATATTAAGTTCCATAATGGAGCCTCCGATACCGGGTAACAGCCAACACATATCACATGATGCTAATGATGTCACGAATACATATCAGAAATTGGACAATCATTCATTGTACAGAATATAGCACATCAGAAAACAGATCTTATTTTATCATACAGAAAATAAATACAGTTGAACATAACTTTACTAAGTTATTACTCACAGATAGCTGCAGAAGCAAATCAGAAAGAATGGACATATCAGATAAATCAGGCAAACAATGGCGCATGACCTACACAAGCACATAACATATACACATTGAAATACAATATTACTTCTTTGATCAAACTTGACTTTTCTAGTCTTTTTCCGTCTAAATAGTTCGAAGTTCTACTACGCTTATTCTTTCTTATTCAAATAAACCGGGTTCTTATTTCACATATTCTTTCATTACTTAGTCATTCTTTTCCAAATAGATTGGTCTTTTACTTGGCTTCTTAAATAATTACCGCTAGATCAATGATTCATTCATTAACTAACTAATTTATGTCGATTGGTAGTTTATTAATCTTTATTGAGTCATAAATCATGTCTAGAATGCTTGGAAAAAGATGAGAATAAAAATGTGAACTAAATGCAATTTCCCAAAATATGCTGAAAATGGGGTCTTCGCTCGAGCGCCACTTTGGTCGCTCGAGCGAACTGTAAAATTTGAAAAACTTCTGGGAGCTCGATTTTCATGCTCGAGCGGACAGCGTAAATTCTGAAATTTCTAGAATTGCAATTGACGTTCAAATTTGATATTCAAAGCCTCAAAACATGTATTTTTGGTACACAAAAATGGAGAACCATTGTATGATTTAGTAAACACTTTCAATTAGAAAACATTCATTCAAAATCATGTTCTAATTGCCCAAATTTAGTTTTAATTCATCTTCTTTATATCAACCCACAATTCTAAAATATAAATTAGACTTCCCAACCTCTTGAAATTCCATGATGTATGTAATACAAATAGATCCAATTTTACTATTAATAACAAAATCAACTTAACTTAATTTTTAGCCAAATTCTTTATTTATAATCATGGGTGTTCTAAAATGTATATAAATTGAATAAAATTCTTAAATTACATCACATGCATGGATTAAATAAAAATCTAATTATAAAATCAGAACTTTAGGATTAATTCCAAATTTCCATAAACTTGATTTTCTTAAAACATTTCCTTTGTCTCTTCAAAATATGAACTTGATGGGCTCAATTCCCTTAAAACTCATGTATTACAAGAAAATACTACAAAATCAAATCAAAACAATTAATTTTTCAAATTAATTTCCACAACTATGAGCCTACTTAATTTCTTACTTAAAACCTTATTTCTTACAAAATCCATGAGACTAATTTCATAACTTTCTTAAATCATGATGCATGTACAATTAGAATAGCAAAATTGTAGAATTTGTTCATGCATGTAGGAACTAGACTCAAACTCATGTAAGATATTCAAAAGCAAATCCAAAATAATTAGCTTCCTTAATCATGAACATGCATGTAACTCATTTTATGTTTAAAACCCAATTTCATCCTAATTCCATGAATTTAATCTCAAATCTCCAAGTATTATAGGATGATTCTACAAAATCATGCCAAAGATAATTAATTTCTAAATTAACTCTCATAAGCTTGATCTTAGCTCCAATTCACCATTTTCTTGTCAATTTCCTTCTAATCCCATAAAATTGATTTCTAACTCTTTGCTATTCTCCTTAAATTATGAAATTGAAATTATAAAACTCTTAGAAAAGTATTTGCATGTGTGAAATTATAATCAAAAATCAAACTATCTACATCAAAATCCCTTTAATTCAAAATTAAGCTCAAAATGTTCATGAATTTATAATTTACCAAAACTTGTTCTTCTTATACCCAAACATGAAATTAATTCTTCAAATCTCTTAAGAATTCATTGATGCATGTAAAGATGAAGTCCAAATTCATAAGGAATAACACAAATTAAACTCACTTGATAAATTTTCCAAATTAATTTCTTAGTTCTTGACTTAATTCTTTTCTTTTCATTATATGTAGAATTACATACAAGTGGATTCTATTTCTGCTTGATTTTCAAAATAAGAAATTAAATATGTGAGCCATATGATGAAATATGAGACATGCAAATAGTTTACTATTCATCATCTTCTTGCTAAGTTCTTTTCAATTATATATAATTGAACCTAACTATCTCTCAATTCTAGCTTTTAGGTGATTTATCTACAAAATTTGAACTTTAATTTCTAAGTGTAATGTAAAGATTCTACCAAAATTAAGTATGAGTTCATACCTTAAACTTAAAAATCAAGAAGTTTAGTTGATTCTCTTTTCATTCTCTTGATCCTCCTAGCTTTTTTTCCCTTAATTTTCTTCTTCTTGGACCGAAATTGCTTCTCTCTCCCTCTCGGTTATTCTCTGTTTTTTTTTTCTCCACTCATGAATTCACATTTTCTCTTATTCTCCTTCCCAACCAAGCAGAACACATGGAAGAATGCATCTACACTTGTTGACTTAAGGGTCATCAACACACCACACACATGTTCATCTCTTGTAACACGTGCACACACTTGCACAATCTGGATGTTTCCTCAAATTAGTTTATGATTAGAGTTGACTTATAATATAATTATCCATTAACTTTATTAAACACAATTTGATCTTAATTAATCTTAATTAGTACACAATTTAGTTAATCATGATTAATCACAATCCCAAATAAATTAATTAATCTAATCGATTTCTATTGGAGCCTAATTAAATATATTTAAATTTATCAATCCGAATCAGATTTTTAATCAAACTCCCAAAAGGCTCCAAATATTAAATTAAACTCATTTCCGTCCTCAATTTTGGTTTCTTAGATCATTTAATCATTCAATTTCTGATCAGACTCAAAATTTCGTCAATAAATTACATATTCAAATTCGGCACCACGTAATGAATTTAATTTATAATAATCTTAATTCCCAATCCTCTTAACTTAATTAACTCCAATTCGGACCCAATTAATCAAATATCAATTTTATAAACCTGAATCGAATATTCAATTAAACTCCCATGTGGCCCGATACTCAAAATTTAAATAATTCAAATCACTATTTGCACTTCCTTGAGCCATTTAGGCTTTCAATTTCTAATTCCAAAATAAATCCTCGATAAAACCATATATGAATCAATCTCCATAATTTTCGTGAATCCCAGATTAAATTATAATAATCGGCAATTAAATTTCAAATCCTCTTAATTAATCAAGTACTAATCATTATATGTAATGGGGTCGTTACACCGACAAATGAAAATGTTGTTGTAAGGAGTTAAAGACTAGACTTGTGACAGCTCCTAGACTAATGACCATTTTGATATGAAAAATGCTTGGGAACACTAATTAGTGCTGCCACTAATTAGGTGGCAGTAGGTCCCGCCATTAATGATGTGATGTTTTAGTCTTGGAGTTGTGTTTTTTTTTTTTTTTTTTTTTTTTTTTTAATCAAGTACTAATCATTATATGTGATGGGGTCGTTATACCGACAAATGAAAATGTTGTTGTAAGGAGTTAAAGACTAGACTTGTGACAGCTCCTAGATTAATGACCATTTTGATATAAGTAAGTAAAAGCTCCAATGCATGTTTTAAATATATAAATATTTACGTACCCTTCTATTTTACTTCAGTTCCACTTGCATTGTTAATCTATTAATTTTTGGAAAATGGCCTTTGGTAACCTTAATTATTGGCCGGTTGTGAAATCTAACCTCTATGTAGCAAGGTCGGGTCATGACAAATACAGTCATTATTTGATATAAATTTTGGGATGAAATGTGTATAAACGGGAAACGTGAGTGATTTTTCTCTTTTGCTCTCATTTCGTAATCATATGTTTGTCACATTATTAACTTCTGTTAAAAACTATACAGTGGAGTAACGAAAAAGGGACATTGACAATTGACCAGAAGTACAAGGCGTTAACTGTCATGATTTTATATGTAGGAGCCAAGATGAGATTTGGTGTAAAGTGTAGAGGTGCAAAATGTAATTTACCCAAGGTCAAGAGTCAAAGTGAGACTGAGTGTAAAGTGCAGGGGTGCCAAGTGTAATTTGTCTTTTTTTAATGTACACGCCAACAATATTCTACTTATTTTCTTTTAAAATAGCTATTTAATGTTTTTATAAGAGAGAAAAAGGAAAGAATAAATGATTTAACAATTTAAAAAAATAAGTAATTAGTAAATAGTCGGTCAGCAAAATTATCTTTTGATTAATCTGTTAAAGACATTTTTCTTGAGTTTGACTATATTAACTGAATTGATTGTTTTGGATGCTCTTAGAAAGTCTTCCTTAAGACAAGACAGTGCAATGCTTAAAAAGTCTTCCTTAAGACAAAACAGTGCAATGCCTTTGGCCCCGTTTGTTTTGGGAGATAGAATGGAGGGAATTGATAATGAGGGGATTAATAGTGAGGGGATTGATAGTGAGGGGATTAATAATGACGAATTGTTAAGTTATTTTTATATAAAATAATAAAACAAATAAAAAAATATAAAAAATTAAACATTATATTTAAAAAAAAAATTCCCAATATATAAAAAATAAAAAAATTTCTAATCCCCTCACTATTTTCTAATACCATCTCTACCTCCTCCTTACCAATCCCCTTTCCAAGGGTATTAGCAATACCAAGGGACTAATAGTCCCAAGGCTTTTTCTGCAAACAAACAGGGGCTTTAGTAATACCTTGGTATTACTAGTCCCAATACCCTCCCTATAGCCCAAAACAAACGGGAAAGTCTTCCTTAAGACAAAACAGTGCAATGCTTAAAAAGTCTTCCTTAGAAAGTCTACTATTAGCAAGTCTTCCGTAGAAAGTCTTCCTTAGGACCATCTTGGCGGGTAGAAAATGACCAACAAACTTTGTCATACTTTGTAATATAAAAAGATAATAAATATGGAGAGCTGTAATTAGTACTCTATTAATTATTTTGGATCACTTATTTTGTAACTTTTTTTATTACAATAATAATCTCAAGTGAAATTACTTAAAAGGATATCAATAATTTTGGGATATCCCATCTCACAATTAAGTCCACATACTCACTACATCATGAGCTAGAGTTTATGAGAGCACCCACCTCCATCACTACCCATCCATCTTTCCCAAATTCCACCTTCAAAACCTACCTACGTCAAAACGTCGAAAACTTTTGGCGGCAACATTGATAACCATTTGATTATATACACTTCTCCAGCAATAACAATGAGTGAAAGTTTTTTCAGCAACCACAACTCCATGAGACCAGAGGAGTACAACAATAAAAGCTTAAAAGTGGTTCATACCTTTGATGGTGTTCTTAGCTCAGAGGAGATTGGCCTTGTAAGAATAAGTTTTTTGAAAAAAAAATGACAAAAATATTAAAAAACTGATTGTCATTTTTTCAAAATTAAACTCCTGAATATATGACTGAAATTCGGAAACACAAGTCCAAACATTGTTTATTTATTCAGGAAGAGGTGACCAAACATTTCTTATTTGTTCAAAAACAGATAACCGAAATAGCAGTAGAAGCAGGAAGACAAAGGAGATCGGACCACCCTTGGGTGGTCGACCGACCAGTTGACCGGGAGGTGAAATCCTGCCCATTTTTCCTCACACAGAGAGCATACAAACACAGCGAGGCCATAGATGAATGATAAAAAACCAACTAGAAAAGCATGAAAGTGGATTATGTAGTGTGTGTGAAAAGAGGTAAAAGAAAAAAAAAATCAAACGGGTTGACAAACCATGTAATAAAGTAGAGAATAAATTTCCGAATCACACAAATTTTTTTCACTAATTTTGGGAGATTCCACCATCATGGGTTTTGTTAGAATTTTGGGAAAGAGGCTTTTGAGGGTGTGGATGTGTGCATTTGAATAGGCGGAATGTTTTTACAACGATAATTTTGGTATTATTTTGGGGGAGAAAAAAAAATTAAAAGTTTTGCAATTTATAAAAAGGAGTTTAAAATAATTGATAAGGTGTTAATAGAAGCACTCTAAATATAGCAAATGGGGTCATTGCTCTACTAAAAGCACAGCAGTGACTATTGTACCTCAATTTGAGATGCATTATGGGCTTATTTTTATGATCTGAATCGTTTTTTTTTTTTTTTTTTTTTGAGATTTTTTTTTTTTTTTTTTTTTGTAGGGTTTGTTGAGTACTTCATGCCTATCAAAAATCATATTAATCGGATATCAATAACTATATGATATCGAACAAAATGGCATCTCAATCGTCCATTCAGTACCATTAGCAAATCAACATGGCATCTCAATCGTCCATTCAGTACCATAATCTTAATTAATGGTCCACAAAGAAGCGAATATAAAGTTGACAGCCACTTTCTCTTTTATCTTTTATTTTTTATTTTTTTATGACCGGGTGTTCGGCCCAACTTATGCATATCTCGACTAATCTCGGGACCTACATGACTCGGGCATGTCACGACCCCATTCCGCCCTTAGTAGAATGGTGCCGTGATGGCTAGTAATCCAAGATTTACCGAAGGCCAACTTTCAAAATTCACACACAATCAGAGTATTACATATGGGGCTTACAAATGCGGAAGCAATAAATTCAAAGCTAAGTAGTCCATAAGAGCAGTGCATAAGTTAAATGGGATGGCATACATCTTTACATAGCTTTAATACAACAAAATGAAGTACAAAAATACATCTTGACCAAAAGGCTTCTCAGCCATCAAATACAAAAATACAATGAAATACAACTAAGAAGCATAATCTTCAAGATGCTGCAATAGTGCAAGATCCAAAACAAGTAGCAAGTACATCTAGGCGTCACCGCTGTCCTGCTCGTCACCTACATATATATAGAGAGGGGTGAGCTTGGATACTCAGTGAATGGTACAAATAATAAAGGGGTTTACATGAATGGCATCCGGAATCTTTATCAAATCAAGGCACATCACATCTTGTACAAAGTCCAAGGGCAAATCAGGTTTATCTAACAATTCTTTCAAGTCTCAACAATTAAAGTCTTTCGAGGCTTTCAAGTTCCAAGGGATGACATTAACAAAGGTTGTGCTACAAATGTTTATAGTCCCCTAGCACGTACAGACTTTCAAAGGTTGTGCTACAAATGCTTATAGTCCCCTAGCACGTACGGACTTTCAAAGGTTGTGCTACAAATGCTTATAGTCCCCTAGCATGTACGGACTTTCAAAGGTTGTCAAAACCAAGCTAATACTTGATACACAAAATAAGGATAGACATTCATGCTTAACAAAATACTTTTCCAAAACAAGCAAGGCAAAACTTTATCAAAACTTAATAATATAACTTTATTAAAAATACCACTCACATAGTTCTTCAAACGTCGGGGCTACAAGCAAGGATCCAAGCCCTACAAGCACATAACAAATCCCATTGAATGCACTATCAAACAAGCTTTACATGAATGCAAGTGACCTCGGCATTCTTTC